TTGTAATCTTGCCTATTATAAAGCTAGCTTTATTAAAGTTATAGACGTCCTTATTGCAGATACCCTACATCGGGAAAAGTTTTTCCATTGTCGAAATTGGGAAATCGTGGCATTGTACTGTGGGCAACAGTAGGACTAGTAGGCCTACAACAGTTATTCAATGTGCATTCAATGTCTAGCTAATTTTGAGCCAATTTTGAGCCAACGACTCTAACAGTCCTAATGGCTCTAATGGCCACAATAACTCCTAATCCTGCTACAATAGTAGCTCTGCTTTATAAACTATACTTTTATTATATTAATATACTACTAAGTCTCCTCTTTAAAATAAGCTATTAAACAATATTATAGGCCTAGTAATAGAATAGTTATTAAGCGTAGAAGGTTTTAAGCTTAATGTTCCTTGCTAAGACACTAAGTTAAGATTCTTTGCTAGGGCTCTAGCAGCCTGAATGTTAGAAAATATAAGAATATTATTTAAGAATAGTAGGTAAACCAAGAATTTTACGCCTGGGCCTGCCTGTCCTGCAAGCTCCTGTTGCGCTGCTGCTGTGTGTGTGTGTGTGTGTGTTGTGGTCAGCAGGTGCTATGCTGTATGCTGTTGCAGCTGCTACGTTGTGTGCGGGCGCAGCTGCAGCTGCTATGGTGTGCTGTCGCAACTTCAAAACACAAACCTTTAATAAACAAACCTTCAACGCTCTATAACTCGCGTTGTAGTAGGCCTACAACAATAATTTTTCGCTTATTTTGAAGCTACAATTTCGCTCTATCTGTATGTGAAATTTCGCAATTTTTGAATATTTAATGCTAGTGCTAGCACCACTGAGGGTAGCCATGCAACGACGTTGCAACGTCGTTTCAAGTTTGTTGAATATAGGCACTTAGTGTTTTGGCTGTTGGCAACGTTAGCGCGAAATTGGGGCTGTTGGGCGCAAATTAGGGCTGTTGGGGCCGTTGAACGGCCGTTGCACGACCATGCCACGACTGTCAGCAACGGCCGGTCTAGGCCGGATTTCGAAAAACTTTTCCTGATGTACTTAGCCTTTGTCTCTTCTACAAGCTTAAACTACCTCTTTATTAATATTACATCCTTACACAGAGCTTGCTGCCTATTGTACGCTTAGTTAAAACACGTCTAAAGACTGTCTGTACGCTTAACAAAGTTAGCTGGCCACTTCTGCCCAACCTGGCCAGCGCCGCGTGCAGCTAGCAGCTTATCAGCCATATCACGTGCAGCTGCGTAGGTAGGCGCAAATCCACGCTGATCTAGGTGAAGTATATAGCTGACAATCACCTCCTCTTCTCCCTGGGTAAGCTTCCTTGAGTTAGGCTGGTAATTGCGTCGCGCGCGCTTTCCAGCGCGCTAGTCAATTAGGGTTAATTTTGGGATATTAAAGACTGTAGCAGCGCGTCGCGTACTCTGAATTTAGGCAGAATTTATAGATAAGAGAGCAAGCTGAATATCTGCTTTACTTGACTGCATAAGAGGAGCGCGGCGTGGAGGCATTGTGTGTTAAGATAGAGTAGGTGATCAAAGTTGGTGGGGTGACCGACTCGCTTGTCTGACCGACTCGCTTGCCAACCATGTTAGCTTATTAACTGCGCGCTGCACACAGCGCAAAGCCTATTAGCCTATAATAGGTTTTAAACTTTGTTAAACGTAAACCTAGACTTAAATTATATATAACTTAATAGAGGCATTACTAGAGAGTCTTGTGCAGTAACCTAGGGGTTATTAAGCCTTGGTTTAACCTTGTACGTAATGTTAAGGCTAAGTACAGTATTCTAGATAAAGATACCTATAACTTTAACAAGACTAGCTTTACTATAGGCATTAGAAACTGCTTTAAAGTAGTTACTACATTAGAGAGACGTACTAAGCCTATTAGGTTATAATAGGAGGACTGTAAGCAGGTAACTTTTATTGCTGTAATTAACGCAATAGGCTAGGCAATTGCGCCCTACCTTATCTTTAAAGCAAAGAACTACAACATATCCTAGTACTCTAACTTAAGGCCCTAATAGCGCTTTAGGGTTAACGTAGATTATCACCGAGCCAGCCATATCACCGAACCAGCCACTTTCTCTTGGCACGACCACCTTTTACCCTAACACAACATGCCTCAACAACAACAACTTTAGAATACTACTAGAGAAGGTAGAGTTATTCTTACTATCTAGGCCTTCTACGCTAGCCAATTTCGCAGTATCTGCAGCGCTGCTAGAGCGTTGAACGTACCTTATTAGTAGGTCTCTAATTGCCTTTGCAATATTACGTTTTAACTAGACGTACGCACTAATTGCTAGAAACTTACTATACTAGAGGAGCAGATAATTATCTAGTATATACTTAACCTTAATTTGCAAGGATTTGCGCCCTAGCTATATAAGGTGGCAGATATAGCTAATAAGATACTTAGTGTGCGTAGTGAAGAGCCTGTTAGCAAACTATAGGCTAGCAGGCTTGTAACGCGTTCAGACAAGCTTAAAATAGCCTTTAATTAAGCTAAGGATAGACAGAGGATACTACAGGAAGATCCTAAGATAATTAGCACGTAGTTTAAGCTAGTAGAGGATACTTAAGTTAAGTATAGTGTTTGCAACAACAATATACACAACTTTAATAAAACTAGGTTCTAGATAGGCATTGCTTTGTCTTTAAAGGTTGTAACAGGCTTAGAGAGACGTGCTCAGCTAGAGCTTGTTCAGCCAGGTGATCGCGAGTGGGTTACTATTATCCAGAGCATCTGCGCCGCTAGGTATGCAACCCTACCTTTTATTATCTACAAAGGACGCGTCTACATCTCTGCCTAGTATAAGGAGACAGGTATACCCCACAATTAGAAGCTCTTAGTCTCTAAGAATAGTTAGATAAACAATGTGCTTAGCCTTAAGTAGTTAAAGCACTTTAACACGCATATAAAGACGTGTTAGGTAGGAGTGTATAGGCTGCTTATCTTAGACAGCTATAAGAGCTATCTTAACTAGGAGTTTAAGGACTATTACCTAGAGAACTAAATCCTTACTCTCTATATACTACCTTACTTGTTGCACATCCTCTAGCTACTTAACATAGTCTATTTCTTACTATTAAAGTATAAGTACTCCTAACATGTTTAAGACTTAGCACGCTAACATGTCTTCTATATTAACAAGAAAGGCTTCCTACTAGCCTTTAGGGATGTGTTTCTTAATATATTTATAAAGGTTAACTGCTAAAAGGCCTTTAAGGTATTAGGGCTTGTTCCTACTAACATGTAGGTAGCGTTAGATCGCCTTAAAGTGCAGCTGCATACCCTACTAGCAGTACCTCTACCTAAAACACTGTAGCAATCTAAGACGCTAAGCAATACACACAAGTTTAGGTCTTAATCTAAGCTTATAAGCAACTCCTTCTAACAATTACTAAGTGCAGCGCAAGAGGGGTTCTTAAAGCTTATAAAAGGGGCTAAAGAGATACTACACAAAAACATCCTTATTAAGGCCTGCGTGCAAGAGCTTGAAGAGCAATTAGTAGTAATAACTAAGAGAAAATCGCGTAAGAGAAAGCAGATTCAGCATAGTGGCACACTTAAGTATGGCCCAGCAGCATCGCGGGTAGCTGCTGAGGCGTGTGTAGCAGCTCAGCCATCTAAGAAGACTTAGGGTGGAGGTAGTTAACTAGGAGCTTAGTTAACTGTTCAGCGCTGTAGGAACTGCAGTAAAACTAGACACAACGCACAAACGTGCTAGGAGGGTGTAGAAATATCTTCTAAATCTAATGCAAGCATGTAGTATGCTAGGTCACTATTTAATAGTAAGTAGTTGTAGTTGCAGTAACTTGTGTTAGTCGTGCTAAGAGAAAATAGCCAGTTTGGTGATATGGCCGGCTTGGTGATAATCTACGTTAGCAATAATAGCTAAACTATAAATAATATTAGTATAGCCTAGTTAAGGCACTTTATTAAGTAGATTAAGGACTAAAGGGTAGGTAGCTATATACTACTAATAAATAATAGCTATAAAAGCTATAAGTTACTTGCCTTCTAGGATCTTTGCAAGGAGAACAAGATAATTGCCCTGTATATGCCTCCACACTTATCACACATCCTGCAGCTACTTAATGTGGGCTGTTTTACCCCCTTAAAGCAGGAGTATAGCAAAGAGATTAGAGTCTTAGTAACAGACTACATTAGTTAAATTAATAAGAAGGCCTTTATTACAACATTTATAAAGGTTTTTAAGAAGGTGTTCTTAAAGGCAAATATTATATTAAGCTTTAGAGCAACTAGCTTAGTGCCTAATAACCTATTAGTAGTGCTATTAAAGCTTAATGCTAAGCTTTAGACGCTAACACCACCTCTACTAGGGGGGGCCTAACAGAACCCTAAGACGCCCACTAACGCTAACAAGATAGATGCTTAATTAACGCTGCTTTGCGATTGTATTTAAAAGCACTATAGGTTATTACTAACTCTAATAGTAGAGATTGTTAATTAGCTGCAGAGAGGCACTGTAATGCTACTGCATGGGCAGACGTTATTGGCAGCCTAAGTGCTGTAGCTTAAAGCGTTAAACAAGGCTGCTTCTAAGCGCAAATTACACAAAAGAAAGTAGATTTAGAAGGGTAGAGACCTATTAAAGGAATAGGTAGAGGATTTAATAGCCTAATATAATATTAGGGCGCAGGTAGAGGGGGAAACGCGTAAGGGTAGGGCCTAAACAGGTACAGGCAAGTAGGGTAAAAGGCACTGCAAGCACTATAGTAAGATAGGGCACAACTCGCGCATATGTGAAAAAGATATAGTAGACATTAGTAATTAAGAATATATACTGTTAGCTATAGTACAACATTGTGGTGTTGAGTAATTGCGTGTAGAAGGCCTAATGGCTTGTTGAGGCGGTCCACTCGCTTAGCCGGCCCACTCGCTGTACACTCACGTTTTGCTGTTGCCGATACTGTTGTATTACAGTCATAGTAATAACAACGGAAATTTGAGACCTGCCTAGGTACAAGTACGTTCTCACGAACTAAATATTAGTTTAGCATAATACTTAATACTGTAACTTAATGAAGTTAATATTACGTTATAACATTCTCCTGTTCTATAGTTGATAACACATGATACCCGTGCATCTAACGGCAGTTCCTACGCGCGAGATCACTCCTCCACTCTTCGCTCCAGCTTACAAATAACGTTACTCTGCATGAAGAAGGTGGCATTACGAGTCGTCCAAGGCTGATTGATTATAAGCTATCTTGACTGTGAAATGACGGAAGATCTCCAACACCACCTTGTATATCCAGCATTTGGAAGATGTGGTGAGGAGTCAGTATGAGAACGTAGCGTAATCAAACACCGTAACACTTACATGCTTGCCAATACATGTCCTGGTACCGGCACTGAACACCAGTATCGCTTTGTCCATTACAAGATACCTCTCCTCGCTCTCAAGCCACCGTTCAGGTCTGTACTCGTGTGCGTCCTCACCGAACGCCTTTATATTGAACTGCACGACTATAGCATTAATTCCAATTCTATGTCTGTTCGTTCCAAACAGTACATCTGTTGCAATTAGGCTGGCGGATGGATAGGGTAGGCTTTTTTTGTTTTTGCTTCTAGCTCCTTAAATATTAGAGATAACGTGTTTCACAAGCGAGTGCCGCACCCAACCGAGCGCCGCACTTTCAACAACAGAACGCCTGTGCAGCGCTATATCACAACACAACACAAATAAATAATTGTTCGCAGGCCTAGATAGTATTATTTAGAAGCTTTACTATTATCTACGTCCTCTATTTCTACCTTACAAGTAACGTACTCCACAAGCGAGCTGGCCACCCAAGCGAGCTGGCCACTTTTGCCAAGACCACACCGAACTTCACTCCCCCTGTAATGCCTCAACGCAACAACGTAAAAAAGCCTTTAAATAAAACACATATACAGCTTGCCCTCTAGGCTATCTAGCAAGACGCGACACTAAGCGTGCAACGTGCTGCAGCAATATACCAGGTCTCTTAAAGCACCCTAGGCACGCGCCTTACTAGAGCCTCTTCACAACGCGATTGCAAGCCCAACATAATAAGGATAACTAGTACTAAGGAGGAGGTGATTGTCCAGCATGTATTGAAGCTAGACGAGTGAGGATACCCACCCTAGCTTGCTGATGTGGAGGATATGGCCAATTCTCTGCTTGCTGAGCGCCACCAGCCCTACGTTGGCAAGAACTAGGCTGCCAACTTTGTAAAACGTTGGCTAGAGCTTAAAGTTAAATTTAATTGCAAGTACAACTATAAGAGAGCTCTGTGTAAGGATCCTAAGGTAATTAGGGACTAGTTCTAACTAGTAGAGAATACTAAAGCTAAGTATAGTATACAAGATAAAGACACCTATAACTTTAATAAGTCTAGCTTTATAATAGGTGTTATATTAATAGGAGCTATTGTTATAGGCTCTAAGCGTTAAGGGAGACTAAAGGCAGTATAGCAGGGTAACTAAGAGTAGACTAGTATTATCTAAGGCATCTGCGCGAAGGGCTAGTCTATCCTACCCTTTATTATCTTCTCTAGCAAGCACCACCTCTCTACCTAGTATAAGGAGCCTAGTATAACTAATAACTAGGTTCTTAATGTCTCTAACGACAGCTAGACTAACAACAAGCTTAGAGTTAAGTAGTTAAAGCACTTTAATAAGCACACAAAGGCGCGCACTTTTAGCAGCCATCAGCTGCTTATTCTAGACGGCCATGAGAGCCACAACTTAGTTGAATTCCACCAGTACTGTGAGGAACACAAGATTATTACCCTGTGTATCCCTCCACACTCGTCGCACCTACTGCAGCCACTTGACGTAGGCTGTTTTGCCCTGTTAAAGAAGGCCTATGGCCGCCAAGCTAAGTGGCTGATGCGCAGCAGGATTACTTACATCACTAAACTTAAGTTCTTGCTGTGCTTTAAAGCGGCTTTTGACGCCTTAATTACAGAGAGCAACATCTAGGGAGGATTTAGAGGTGCTAGCCTAGTCCCACTTAACCTAGAGGCTGTGCTATTAAAGCTTAAAGTACAGCTGCGCACAGAACGCCACCTACTATAGACAACAGTACGTAGGAGTCTAAAACACTTAGCAACACCCTAGAATTTAGGTCTTAATTAAAGCTAATTTAAGAGAGGATTTAGAGACACGCTAATAGCTTGCCAACGTCTATAGTTAACGCTCTTAATTAGCTCACTAAAGGCGCAGAGCTAATGGCGCATTCACTAGTTTTAGTGCGTAACTAGGTTGCTAACCTACAGGCAGCTAACAAGGCTACCACACGTTGTAAATCACACAAAAGGAAGCAATTATAGTAAGAGGGGACTCTAGTCTTTGCTAAGGGAGTGTGGCTAACTACTCTAAAGGAGTTTAAGGCCTGTAGTGATGGGAAGAAGGCAAAGAAGAGGTCGCGTGTTGATAGGAGCACTTAGTCTCTAAGGCGCTGTAGCACATGTAGCAAGACAGGGCACAACGCGCGAACATGCAGTAAAGATACACAGAGTACTATAGACTAGTTTAGTATACTGTATAGTATAATATATTATAGTTGTGTGCTGTAATGTTGCAAAGTATGTGCAGTATTGGTGTGGTCTTGGCAAAAGTGGCCAGCTCGCTTGGGTGGCCAGCTCGCTTGTGGAGTACGTTATAGGAATTGTTTCTAATCTTACTATAACACCTATAGTGTTATCTAACGCGCACCCTCTTTGTAGGTGTCTTACCCTTACTACAACCCCTACCCTCCTTTTTAGTAATTAAGTTAGCTACTTTACTAACTATAAGGGTCTCCTCTGCGTGTATATATTGTTGCTTATAGGTCTTGTGCTTTGTAGATGCTTCTACAGCGTCTTAAAGGTAGCCTATTTCCTCCTGCATTAACACTATATTATAAGCTATCTGCTAAGCGCCCTTTACTAACTATTTAACCTGCTTATCTAACAAACTTGCTAGAGACCCTTAATAGATTTAAATCTGCTTTTAAATTAGAGTTAACTGCTCCTCTACTTTGTAAGCAGTGTGGGGTGTCTTTAGCTCCTAGGCGATGTTGCTAGGTTTTAGTGGCGTTAGCGTGCGCAGGCGCACATTAAGCTTTAATAACACTACCTCTAGGTTGTGTAGGACTAGCCTAGCACCTCTAAAGCCTGCGCGAACGTTCTCTCTAGTGAACGCCTTACTAAATGCTGATTTAAAGGCTAGCAGGAAGGTTTCCTTATTAATATAGTGGATGCAACTGCGTGCTAAGGCCGAAACCTCGTCGCTATACAGGCGCTTTAGTGGCGAGAAGCACCCCTAAAATTAGTAAAAGGGATATAGAGCTTCCTAGGGTTTACTAACTTCTATTAATAGTTTGCTAGTAACTTCTCCTTAATACTAGAACTACTAACTTAGTTAATAGGGAAGAATTTAGTATTTAAGTAGGGGAAGCTTTAATAATTAGCCTTTAAGGCTATAAAGATAGTATTTATTGCAGAACCTGCGCTATTAAACTTTAATAAGAACCTAAAGACAATCCTAGAGTGCAATGCCTCTAGATAGGCCACTAGGGGTGTACTATTACAGTACAGGACTAATAGCATCCTGCAGACTGTTGCATATTTCTCCACAAAAAACACAAAGGCTAAGGTAAACTACACTATCTACAACAAGGAGATGCTAGCAGTTATTAAGTACGTCTAAGAATATAGCACTAAGCTAAGATCTGTAGAACACTTCACAGTTATTACTAACTACAAGAATCTAGAGTACTTCTGCAAAACAAGATTACTATTAGAAAGGCACGTTAGGTAGTTAAGCTTGTTAAGCTAGTTTTACCTAATATTTGTATACTGTCCTAGAAAGGTTAATAGCTAGGCTAATGCCTTGTCTAGACGTAAAGAGGACTTACCACTCCTAACAGGTAATAATTAAATATAAACACAAAAATTCTAGTTACTGAAATTATTTACTTAGGTACATAAGCCTGCTTACAATAAGGGGGGAGTAGGTGCTATAGTAGCATTCTAAGTAAAAATTTGCCCTACATCCCTCTAGTGCGCAGAAGGCCTCTAACCAGCACAGTTAACTGTAGCCTTATACAGGCGCTTTAGTGGCGAGAAGCAGGCGACGTCAAGTGGCTGCAACAGGTGCGACGAGTGCGGGGGCATACAGAGAGTGATTATCTTCTTCTCTCTGCAGAGATCTTGGAAAGCCACTAAGCAGTGGCTCTCATGGCCGTCAATAATAAGTAGCTGGTAGACCCTAACTAGCTTTGCATGCGTATTAAAGTAGTAGAGCTAGGCAAGCGCTAGATTATTATTATTCTAGCTAGTAGGACTAACATTAATAACCTAGTCCTATAGGAGGTCCTTAGTAAACTAGTTAGAGATAAGAACCTTGCCTGCAAGGATAAGGAATAGTAGGATAACCTTCCCTATTAACCTAACGCCTTATACTAGGGTAGCCTACTTATAATTACTAGGTTAGATCTTCTTCTACTTCCTAGGCTTCTCTAAGCTTGTTACTACTAGCTGTAACAAGATTTTGCCTATTAGGAAGCTAGACTTATTAAAGTTGTACACATCCTTGTCTATAATACTATACTTTGCCTTTATAGACTGAACAAGCGTGAACTAGGGCTGGATAACTGCTAGGTCCTCGCAGGCAGTCTGCTGGCGATTGTATGGGCGGGTCCACCGCTTCTAGAGCTCTGGTGTACGCTTTACTAAGTTGTTAACCTAGTTCTTGCTAACAGGCTTTGCGCCGCGCTCTCTTAGCAGTTTATCTGCCATATCTTGTACGTCTGCCTTTAAGGAGGGTAGGTCACGCACAGACTCCTCAAGTATACGTAGTATAACTGCCTCCTCTTCTAGCTTTGTAAGGCGCTTTGCATTTAGCTTACAGTTGTGTTAAGAGTGTGTTCTATTATGTTAGTGTTAGATTATTTATTTAGGCACTTTATAGACTTTCTTAGCATGTTAGATACTTTAAATTTAGTTTCTTAAGATATTAGATATAGCAAGCTGTACATCAGCTTTAGTATAGAGTGTAGGAGCTTGTTGTGGTTGAGACATTACGCGCTATTGTTGCGCCGGCGTTCTGGCAGCGAGAGTGCGGCGCTTGGTTGGGTGCGGCGCTCGCTTGTGAAACACGTTAATAATAAACAAATAATTTAACTAACGTAAACCCCCAGCACCCAGGCCAACCCAGCACCCAGGCCATTTCTTGCCAAGACCACAACTATTAATATTAACACGTAATGCCTTACTAACAAGATATATAATTATCTAAACAAGAGAGTAGAATTAATCTTGCCCTTTCTACTTTCTAATTATATAAATTTAAAAGCCTCTAAAGCGCTGCTTAGGCATTTAATATAATGTATATAACCTTAAGTGCTAGGTATAGAGGCAGACTCTATATTAATAATAGACATAACACACAATATAAGCTTACGCGCACTAAAGAGCGAACAATTGTATAATACATTCTTGACCTTAATTTGCGAGGATTCGCGCCCTAGCTGTGCGAGGTGGCAGATATAGCCAACAAACTGTTGGGTGTACGCGGTGGGCAGCCTGTTAGCAAGCACTGGGCTGAGCGCTTTGTAACGCGTTTAGCTGCGCTCAAGATGGCCTTTAATCAAGCTAAAGATAGGCAGAGGATGCTGCAGGAGAATCTAGAGACAATTAGCGCGTGGTTTAAGCTAGTAGAGGACACAAAAGCTAAATACAGCATATACAACCACAATGTGCACAACTTTAGTAAGACTAGCTTCTAGATAGGTGTTATTAGCTTAATAAAGGTTATTACAGGCGTAGAGAGACATAATTAACCTTAGCTTGTTTAGCCAGGTGATTGCGAGTAGGTAACAGTTATCTAGAGCGTTTGCGCTGCTAGATCTTGTACCCTACCTTTCATCATCTACAAAGGACGCGTTCACATCTCTGCCTAGTACAAGGAGGCAGATATACCACGCAATTGGAAGCTCTCCGTCTCTGAGAGCGGCTGGACGAACAACGCGCTCGGCCTTGAGTGGCTGAAGCACTTTGACGCGCATACAAAGGCGAGCCAGGTAGGGGCGTACAGGCTGCTCATTTTGGACGGCCATAAGAGCTACCTTAACTAGGATTTTAAGGACTACTACCTTAAAAACATAATCCTTACCCTCTACATAATACCTTACTTATTACACATCCTCTAGCTACTTAATATAGTCTACTTCTTACTATTAAAGCGTAAGTACTCTTAGTGCGTACAAGACTTAGCACACAAGCATATCTTCTATATTAATAAAGAAGGCTTTCTCCCTGCCTTTAAGGACATATTTTTTAATATATTTATAGCAGAGAACTGTTACAAGGCCTTTAAGGCAGCAGGGCTAGTCCCTCTTAATACGCAGGTTGTGTTAGATTACCTTAAAGTGCGCCTGCGTACCCTACTAGAACCCCTCCTCCTAGAGACGCTGTAGTAGTTAAAGACTCTAAGCAATACCTACAAGTTTAGATCTTAGTTAAAGCTTGTACGCAAGTCTTTTACTTAGTTGCCTATTACTGCGCAAGTAGGCTTCTCTTAGCTTGTTAGAGGCAGTGAGCTTATGCTGCATCACAACGCGCTTTAAGCAGCCCAGATTACTAAGCTTAAAGAGCAATTAGCAGAAATAACTAAGCAGAAATTGCGCAAAAGGAAGCAGATCTAGCAAGGTAGTACTATAAAGTATGGTGAGGCAGCAGCTCAGGTGGCCGCAGAGGCCTCTGTAGCCGCTGAGCGGTTAAAGAAGGCTTGTGGTGGTGGTGATTAAGAACAAGCTTAACTAGCTCTACAGCGCTATAGAAACTGTAGAGGGACTAGACACAACGCGCGAACGTGCAAAAAAGATATAGAGGCATATTCTAAATTAGATACAAGCACAGTGTACGCAGGCTCTATATTAAATAGCGATGAAATTGAAGAGTTGTAACGTGAGTTGGTACTGCCAAGCTTTTTTGGCCCGGGTGCTGGGTTGGCCTGGGTGCTGGGGGTTTACGTTAGTTACTAAGGAAGTGTTGCAACTACATACTAAACTTTAGCATGTGGATATCCACAACTACTAGCTCTAACAGGAGGTGGCCACTAGAAAGATTATTATAGAACACGTCTAGTCTGCAAGCATAATAGCAGACAGACTTACAAAGGTAGTCCTAGTAAATAAGTAGGAAGGTTTCCTCTAGCAACTTAGTCTAGTAAACAGGGAGTTAACAGAAGTGCTAAATAGCGTGCCTCTAGACAGGATTTAAGAACAAATTAAGGACCTTACACGCACATAAATAGTTAGCTTAAAGAGTTTCTAAGCTAAAGGGGGTGTGTTAGATAAGAGTAAGTAGTAAGAGGTTGGATCTGTGCAATTAAGCAGGGACCTGTCGCGCAGCCAATCAGCAGTTGCTAGGTCGATTAAGCGAGACCTGGCAACTCCTGATTGGCCCGCACACAGGCGGCCGCGAACAGCGCTAATTCCCCCCCCCACTTCAATCCTGTAGCAACCAGCACGACGCGGAAAAAAACACCATCGCCACAATTATCAATAAATCATTATACCACCTAATATCTCGTTAAGCACATACTCTGGCTCACAGTACGAGCATCTGACAGTAGTAGTCTGGTCAAAGGCCAATAAAGGATATCTACTTCCTAACAACTTTTGCTAAAAAGCATGCACAAGTTAACTAGACGTCTAGTTAACTGCGTAGATAATATATATCTAGCTTAAGCCAAGCCGGCTAAGCTAATGTAACCGGCTAGCTCTAGCTCATCTTTAGCTCTAGAGTCTAGACCGTTACAAGTATATTAGATTAAATACTAGCAACTTGGGCAACACACAATAGTCTCTGGACAGAAAGATATTCTATCTAAACAGCCAGCCAATTGCTAACAGCCACTTCTGCAACATGGCGCATGACTTGCTGGCTGAAGCAGAGCAGATGCTGTAGGAGCTGTGCTGGGTGGACAAGGAGGAGGACTAGGTGACTGTTAATCTTAAGTAGGTAGTTAACAACATTATATTTATAAGACAACACACGTTGTTTGTTAATGCACTAGGCAAAAAACTGCTAGGTGGGCTAGACTAGATGCTGAAGCGCGTGATCAACACAAAGGACAGACAGCGCTTAAAGCGTGCAGACAGGCAATGGAGCGTCAAGACAGTGCGGCAGTACTTATGACAGGTCGACTGCTTCTTGGAGGTTACGCACTGCAAAGAACTACTCTAGAGTTACATGGTCAAACCCACTCTGCCCTCATTCTAGTTTCTTTAGCGCTAATTCGCTTGCTTGCGCAAAGCTGTCCCCGTGCGAACGCTAACGCTTTGCCTCACCAAAACCCTACGCCACTGCAGCGGGGTGTGAGACCCACTGCGTACAATCTAGCACAGACAGGCTCCTTGCTTAGGTAGTCTTGGTTTGCGAACCATGCTATCATGCTTACAATGGTGTTATACTTTTGCTAAGATAATGCCTACAGCTTCTGATTATGCCTGCCACACAGTCTCTTCATAACAGAGAACGATAGCTTGTAGCACGGATGCATAACAGCAACGTTCTGGGATGGGTCCCACCGCGGGAGCTAAATCCAGGAGGCATGACACGTACGCAGATCAACCATGAATTGCCATTTGTCCCAAGAATCCTCATCGCCTCCAGGACAAGGCCAGGGCAGGAACGGGCCAGCCATTCTCCCTGCTGGTGGTGGCAACGCAAAGTGCCGCCTCGCACAGCTGCATCTCACCATGATGCGTAAGTAATCTATTGCATTCTTAATATGCTATGTTTGTACTACGCCTAGGGCTGCTGCTTTGAAGAATCTAGTAACCACAACTTCTTAAAAGTCACTATAATCTTTAAGCTTTGAAGCTTTAAGCTGCCATGTAGTAAGGACATCACGAGATAATGCATGACGGCAACTAGCCAGATTTCTTAGCAGTTCAATCCACTATATAAGGTTGGTAGACTTATAGGGCTGTCAAAATTCTAGGTTGAAACGGGCCAACCTTTATGATTACATACCTGATCTGATACAATCTTTTGTTATTCTGAACCTACTCATCTGATGGAAAGACTGTGTCAATAGAGAGGCCACTAATGACAGTATACTCTGACAGAGTCAATATTTGCTAAGAGCGAACTCCTAGAGATGCACTTCCTACCTCCAAAAAGACTGAACGAAAGGTTTACCCCAGTAGTCTCGCAAGCGTCTTCAAAACGAAGCAGATACCTGACAGTTTGTTACGTCTAGAAAGTCAATACCTGTACTTAAATTCCTAGAACTGTGTAAATAGAATGGTCTTTTTATCTCAAGACTAAGCGTGCAAAAGGCAGATCCCTAGAGGACTTAGAATCTGATCCTGCTACCACACATATCCTTAAGTACTTAGATTCGTTCATCCTCCCCCAGCTTTGCAGACTACGACATAACACTATGGGCAGCGTTGGTGCCAATCTGCTATTGATCCCACCAAGTCGCATTACGTACCGAGATAAACGGACAACTTGGTCAACATTCAACAGTTGAGCGCTTGCTTTCTGAATCACGCTTCAAATGCCTGTTGAGAAGAGTAGCACCGTGCCGTACCACCGCTGGTGGAAAGAAGGATCGTCTCTACTGTTTACCCCCAGCCATTCCAAGCAATCAGGTATGAGGTAATACCGTAGAACACTGCGGGTTTGAACAGGACACCTTTTGACGAATCAATGCACAGTTTGCTTGAGCTAGCATGGCGTTTTTTTGGGTGGCGAAATTTTAGCAACGGAGATTTTTTTTTCTAGATATCTCTAGTCCGTGTTGGGGACGCTACTGAAGTATTTATTTTTGAAGTGTGTATTTGTGTGTGTTTGTGCCAAACGTGGTACATATTGCTTTTGTTCTGGGAGAGAGCTGGATGTCGGTTAAATGAGTCATAAACCACAGGGACTCCTCGATACAGAGTCTCGCCAGGGCGTCGGAAACTCCTGGGGTAGAAATCCTTTGACCTTTCTGGAAGGTAGCTAGCGATCGTTTTTTCGATTGGCTTGAGTCATTCAACATTTTCTGTACGAAACGATTTTCCAGCTATTTTCCTCTGTAGGAGTTTCCGATCACCTGTCGACCCTCTGTACACGGTATTCATTGACAATTTAAATAACAAAAGCCAACTATGTAGCGAAGATCGATACTTCATGGGGCTAGCGAAGGATCATGACCGTTACATGGGACGCATCCTACGCCCCATGCTACGCCCCATGCTACGCCGCATCCCACGGCAGTGTATTTAATAATGAGCCAACTTTATCGCGCCAGGAGGGTCTAACGTTCTGCAAACCTTTGCAACACCAATCATCAACATCATGGGATTGTGGGACGTGGAAGACTATGGCACCATCGCTGATAGGGCTTGCTGGTCTATGTTCGCAGTCACAGCTTGCGAGCAGCCCTCTTATGTTGCGCCGAATGGCAGCTAACTGTCTTGTAGTCTTCGTGGCGTTGAGAGTCGGCACTCGCATATTCAGCAAAGGCGGTGGCCTTGGAATGGACGACTATATCACCGTATTCTGCGTCGTTGTGATGTTCGTCACCTGTATCCTGATCACGATCGGCACCCAGTACGGTCTTGGACGAAGAATGGAGGCCATCGATCCCCCATTGATACCGCGAGCTCTCAAGTGGAATGTAATCATCAGTTCGGTACTGATATGGACATTTTCGCTACCCAAGTTCGCCATCATTGCTACTCTCAAGCGCATTCTGAACTACGGCCTCAAGACGACGATACTATTCTGGGGCCTCGCGCTCAGCTCCCAGGCCTGTATATTGGCTACTTCGGTCTGGTGGTACGAGCAATGCGATCCGGTCGAATTCGGCTGGAACAGAACCATACCAGGCGGAAAATGTGCCAGTACCAAGGTCATGTCAGATTTGGGCTATTTCACTTCGGCCTACTCTGCCTTCCTAGATGTATTCTTCGCTTTGTACCCGATTCCATTCATTATGCGCCTCAACATGCCACTCAAGAACCGCATCCTGTTCTCGATCGCGCTGGGCCTCAGTATCCTGGCCTTCATCCTCACCATCTACAAACTCACAATCTTTGGGGAAATTTTTGTAATACTGGCTGAGAACCCGACTTGTGAGTTCTTCACCCCGCATGTTTCTCAGCACAGAACTAACTTTGTTAGACCCGGTCCCGCTTCTCGATATACTCGGTCTAGGAGAGGGTTGTATTCTCGTGGTATGCTCCTCTTTGCCCACACTGGGCCCACTCTTCCGCTTGGCCAGAGGCAAAGTTCGGACTCTCAGTGGCAGTGGCAATGGCAGTAGGACCACCAGCCAGGGACGACGCAGTAGCGCCACCCACCGAGGGCTATCCAGCACCAGCGGAAGATGGGATAAACTTCAAGGGCATCAGTTGGATGACGAGGAGAGAACATCGAGCCACGCAGGTGAAAGCATCGATAATATCCCGCTCGTCTACCACGGCGCGGACCAGATCCACAAGACACTTGAGTTTAAGGTGACCACGAGCGCAAAGGGTGACCGACGGGCGAAGCCAATTGACGATCGGGACATCTAGCTTGGTGTCAGTGTGGCGGCCAGTACTTCCTCTAGGCATCTACGCGCGCGATGGGGCAGCAGCGTCGTGGTGATGATCTGATTGGGCAAGCTTCGGTGTTGTTGAAATGATGTTGTTGAGGTAATGTTAGTAAGGTGAGGAACTGTGAAAGAGGGCGACTTGAGCGGAACTAAAAGCAACACTGAATTTCATATTCCCACAGAAAGTCTCACTTTACCTTAATGAAAACGTTATTTCGAGTCCTCAATAGTTACAGACTATTCAGCAACACCAAAGTTCAACTGCTACAATAGGTACTAACCGATAGGTCCTGTCAAAGTCGCTCGCACGAGTCCGAGGGGCTGCATGCCAAGCACGACATCCCAAAAGTGGCGTGAAAAGTACGTGAGTGGCCCAGCAGGTGGGTCTGCCCCTGAGATATCCTTGCTCACTCAAATTTCGGATACCGTGTCCTCAACTGATCAGTGCTAACCTATTCAACCCGCATGGCATTAAATCGTGCGGCTTTCTCAATGTAATTCAGGACTAATTACTCTATTGAGTAGCCGCGTGACCAAATGTCGTTGAGGACAAATTACGTATTAGGAAAGTACATATAAGAAAAATGGATCTTAGTACGCGCTTATCTGTTAAAAGAGATTTACTAACTACTATAGTATTTGGAATCCCCCAGTCAACCAGTGGATATGGCCAGAATTTTACGGTAGATAAGAACATTTCCCTTTGTCAAATAGTAGACCGAGTGTCGATTCCGTTGTTCCTGCATCTTTCCCCAAAAGTTAATTCCCATTTCCAACATGGCATCAACAGACCAACTTATCGGAGCCCTGGAGGGCCTCGACGCGAACTCCTTCGTTAACGAAGCAGAGCGCGTCCGTGCTATAGACGCGCTGAACCTGGCCTTAAGCAAAGTACATAAGCCGTGGGACATTGTTTGGCAGCACTGTTGGGTCAACCCGGCCACCAATGCATGCGTCAAGACGTTGATTGACGCGGGTGTCTTCAGCAAATGGATCGAAACCGGAGGCGGAGAGAAGACTTGCGCGGAACTGGCCGAGTTAACGGGTGCCGATGTAGTGCTTATTCGTAGGTTACATATCTGCTCTGCTTAACTCATGATGAGCATTCTGACGGCAATACAGGACGGATGATTCGGCAAATTTCTGGGCAGAATCTTGCCATCGAGACCGCCGAGGACACCTACAAGCCTACACCGTGGATACGCGCTCTCGCTGAGGATCAGGCCCTCGCCAACGTCTATGGTGAATTTTATGGCTTCGTCAATTCGCCCATGTTCAGGACTTTGCCAGCCTACCTCAAGAAGACGGGATACAAGGTCCCTACTAACCCCAACGACTGCAACTGGCAGTTCATGAGAGGCTCAAATGAAAATCTGTTCCAGTCCCTTAGCGCGAACCCTGTCGCCGCAAGGGAATTCAATGATGCCATGGAGAGTCACTCCAAGCATAACTTGACGCCCTGGGTTGATGTTTACCCAACTGAGACTCTTGTGAAAGAGTCCAAGCCTGACCGGCCCCTAGTCGTCGATGTCGGTGGTAGCAAGGGCCACGACCTGACCAAATTTCATCTGCGCCACCCTGATATCCCTGAGGGCAGTCTGGTGCTCCAAGACCTGCCCGATATTCTCAAGGAGTTGACTATTGACGACACCATCTCCATCCACCCTCATGACTTTTTTGAACCACAGCCCGTGAAAGGTGCCCGTGTCTACTTCATGCACAACGTGCTGCACGACTGGGAAGACACACAGGCGAAGCAGATCCTTTCTCACCTTGCCGAAGCTATGGAACCCGGATACTCGAAGCTTCTCATTCACGAAAGCTTGATTAGCTCTGTGAAGCCGCTCGCTCGTGTGACGACGTCCGATATTACCATGATGGCGTGCCTTGGTGCGAAGGAGAGGACGGAGGCTGAGTGGCGGGCGCTGGTGGAGAGTGCGGGATTAAAGGTGCTAAATATCTGGAGGCCACCTCACTCTGTGGAAAGTATTATTGAGGCAGAGCTAGCTTGAATTTTAGAACGTTCCGTTTTATAACGCAAATAGCAATTTCTTTAAGTTATTCACGCTTAATGTAAGTGCAGTAGTATAGCTGATAAAATATAGCAATTAATATTGCCTAATAAAAACAATACTAACGTAGATCCCAAGCGAGCGGTCTAGCTTCGCGAAATATAATTACTACCCAACTAACACAATCATGCCATCACAACGCAACGTGCAAATATCTTATACTGAAGGCATAACGCAAATTATCACCGAGCCAGCCATATCACCAAACCAGCCACTTTCTCTTAGCACAACCACCTTTTACCCTAACACAACATGCCTTAATAACAACAACTTTAGAATACTACTAGAGAAGGAAGAGTTATTATTACTATCTAGGCCTTCTATGCTAGCCAATTTTGCAGTATCTACAGCGCTGCTAGAGCGTTAAACGTACCTCATCAGCAGGTTTCTAATCACCTTTGCTGTAACGATGCAGGCAAGAAGAGAGATATCCAGAATAGGTGTGAATCCGCTACGAGGCATATAGGAGCGCTAGGATAATAAGAACACTAGGATATATTCTCTACACCTATAGGTCTTGTATAAAAGAATGTAGAAAAACTACTCTATAATGCTATAGTTCCTTGCTCCTTATATATAAGGGTTTAGTGGCAGTTTTGTGTAAGCTTATGCTATGTAACAAGGGCCATGGTCATAAGTCGCTAGAACCGTATCCTAGTGGCATCGGGTCACTGTTCGTAGAGCGTTGTTACATTTGCAATATTACGTTTTAACTAGACATACACGCTAATTGCTAGAAACTTACTTTACTAGAGGAGCAGACAATTGTCTAGTATATACTTAACCTTAATTCGCAAGGATTTGCGCCCTAGCTATATAAGGTGGCAGATATAGCTAATAAGATATTTAGTGTGTGTAGTAAAGAGCCTATTAGCAAACTATAGGCTAGCAGGCTTGTAACACGTTTAGACAAGCTTAACATAGCCTTTAATTAAGCTAAGGATAGACAGAGGATACTATAGGAAGATCCTAAGATAATAAGTGCGTAGTTTAAGCTAGTAGAGGATACTAAAGTTAAGTATAGTGTTTGCAACAACAACATGCACAACTTTAATAAAACTAGGTTCTAGATAGGTGTTGCTTTGTCTATAAAGGTTGTCACAGGCTTAGAGAGACGTGCTTAGCTAGAGTTTGTTTAGCCAGGCAATTGCGAGTGGGTTACTATTATCCAGAGCATCTACGCTGCTAGGTATGCAACCCTGCCTTTTATTATCTACAAAGGACGCGTTTACATCTCCACCTAGTATAAGGAGATAGATATTGTAGTAGTCTGGCCAAAGGCCAATAAAGGATATCTACTTCCTAACAACTTTTGCTAAAAAGCATGCACAAGTTAACTAGACGCCTAGTTAACTGCGTAGATAATATATATCCAGCTTAAGCCAAGCCGGCTAAGCTAATGTAACCGGCTAGCTCTAGCTCTTCTTTAGCTTTAGAGTCTAGACCGTTACAGATATACCCTACAATTAGAAGCTCTTACATCGGGAAAAGTTTTTCCGTTGTCGAAATCAGGAAATCGTGGCATTGTACTATGGGCAACAGTAGGACTTGTAGGCCTACAACAGTCATTCAATGTGCATTTAATGTCTAGCTAATTTTAAGCCAACAGCTCTAACAGTCCTAACAGCTGCAATAGCCACAACAACTCCTAGTCCTGCTACAATAGTAGCTCTGCTTAATAAACTATACTTTTATTATATTAATATACTACTAAGTCTCCTCTTTAAAATAAGCTATTAAACAATATTATAGGCCTATTTATAGAATAGTTATTAAGCGTAGAAGGTTTTAAGCTTAATATTCCTTGCTAAGACACTAAGTTAAGATTCTTTGCTAGGGCTCTAGCAGCCTGAACGTTAGAAAATACAAGAATATTATTCAAGAATAGTAGGTAAACTAAGAATTCTACGCCCAGGCCTGCCTGTGCTGCAGTGTGTGCTTGTTGGCAGGTTCTTTGTGGTGTGCTGTTGCAGCTGCAGCTGATACATTGTGTGCTGGCGCAGCTGCAGCTGCTGTGGTGTGCTGTCGCAACTTCAAAACACAAACCTTCAACAAACAAACCTTCAACGCTCTACAACTTGCGTTGTAGTAGGCCTACAACAATAATTTTTCGCTTATTTTAAAGCTACAATTTCGCTCTATCTGTACGTGAAATTTCGCAATTTTTAAATATTTAATACTAGTGCTAGCAGAACTAAGGGTAGCTATGTAATGACGTTGCAACTAGGCTGGCGGATGGGTAGGGTAGGGTAGGGTATAGGTATAGTCACGTGATTTATGGGTAGGAACTAGGTAGGGTACATGAGGTACCCTACCCAAACGGTTTGGGTAGGGTAGCACGTGACTGGGTATAGGTATAGGTAGGGTAGCACGTGACTAGGT